TTGCAGGGAGGAAAAAATTGTATTGAATTTAGCTTAATGACTTCAAATGTAAAAAAAAAAATAAGCTAATTGGAAAATTGAGTGAAAAACCTTGAAAATGAAAATACAAAACAAAAATGTGTGTGTGTGATATTGGATGTGTTGTGACAGCTGTCCTGCCCTTAAAAAACACGCACCTGTTATGGGTACTGGTTTCAAGAAGCACATATCTGATGTAACCATATATCGCATAAAAAAAAACTCAGAAAACCTACGATCAAGAATTGTTGACTTGCATGAAGCTGGAAAGGGTTACAAAAGTATTCCAAAACCCTTGATGTTCATGTGTCCACGGTAAGACAGACTGTCTACAAATGGAGAAAGTTTTCGCACTGTTTGCTACTCTCCCTAGGCGTGGTCGTCTCCAAAAAAAAAATGATGCAAAAAAAAGCGCAGAAAATGAGGTAAAGAAGAATCCAGAGTATCAGCTAAAACAACACAGAAACAAAAACATCTCTGGCACATTAAAAATACAACAACTTTTTGTTGACACATTTTTAACAAAAACAAAAAAAAAAAAAAAACAAGAAAGTGTACATGACGAGGACACCACTGAAGCCATAAACACAAAAAAAAGAAGATTCAGCACATTGAATTTGCTAAGAGCAAAATTCTGGATAGTTCTGCAGCACTACAGCAAAAGCCCGGTGGACAGATCCAAAAAAAGTTGCCAGGGAGCCCACACAACATTACATATGTGTGGAAAAAAAAGGCACAGCTCACAGACATCAAAACCTCATCATGTGAAACAGTGTGTTGAGCAAATGGTTTGGGGCTGCTTTGCTGCTATCAGGGCAGAGAGGATATTGTCATTGAAAAATTAAAATAATTCCAGCTTTACAAGACACGTTTGCAGGAAAAAAAACACCATCTGCCACCAACTTCCACAGCCGGATGTTGCATTGTGGAAATGAAAAGCATACAAGTAATTCAACAAAACAATGGCTGCAAACAGCACAGAATACGCCTTCTGGAGTGGCCCAAAACAGGGTCCTGACCTCAACCAATTGAACATGCTGTGGCATGATTAAGAGTAACTAATTCACACCAGACATAAAAAAATTGCTACATGAAACACACACACATATGGTCCAAAAATAACTCCAATAAAAAAAAAGTGTCTATATCTGCATACTACATAAACGTATATATTATTGCTGCCAATAGGGTCAACAAATTAACACAATAATACATACATACTACCACACACACTATAATATTTACATGTTATGTGCAATTAAACCATGGCAACATCATAATGTTTGTGTAGTAAATGTTCAAAAAACAGACACACACATATTCAAATAAAAAACTATAGATGACGTTCATAAGCACATTTTTATGCCCAATTCATGCAAAACATACACGGAATACACAAGGGGTTCACATACTACACAAAAACATATATACACATACACACACACACACATAAAAACAAAACAAACATATATAACACATAAACATAAAAAAAATAATACACATACAAACACACACACACCAAAAAAATACACACAAAACACATAAAACACAAACACACATATTTGCAACTTCCATTTAATACAACTCAATGCAAGCCACAGTAAAAATCGCACAAAACTAGTGCAGGAACCGTTTCAAGTCGACTGCGACTTGAATCGCAACAATTTGACCGGTCCCATCGACGAAAATAGGGTGTGATTTGTCATGAGATTTTAACCCCTTCACGCCAGCGCCTCCCGGCCCTTTTAGAGTTTCAGAAGCCGGGAGGCGGGGCTTAGGGTCATGTGACCGCCATGACACGAAAGAGGAGATTGGGACCTTTCCGTGAGTACCGGACATGTGTGCTAGGAGCGAGCAGGGCGTGCGCTCTCGGCACATATGTCCTTTTTTTAATAGAACGCAAATGTGCGGCCGCTCGGCGTCTAGGCCCAGACGTCGGGAGGCTGCACATTTGCGTTCGGCCGGCGTGAAGAGGTTAAACTGTGGAATCACATGACAAATCACATTGGTGTGAACCAGGGCTTACAAATGCAACTGACTTGTGTGAAGAGCTCCATAGGATTTAATGGTCATGCATTTTTCTTCTGCTTTTGGTAAGGCAAAAATGGAAGGAAAAACTGATCAGTGTGAAAGGGTCCTTAGGCTTGTCCCTGTGTGATAGCAATAAAGTTAGGTACAAAAAAAAAGAAAAAATTACAATATAAAAAATATAAAACACCATCCTTCCCCAGGTGCACACAAGTGCAAAACATGGGTGTTGGGTGCGCACGTGTAGGTGCACCAAACGGTTCTGCACCATACATATTGGGTATGTCCTAGAGTCCAGGGGTGTCAAACCGGTTGCCCTTCTGCTGTTGGAAAACTACAAGTCCCATCATGCCTCTGCCTTTGGGAGTCCTGCTTGTAACTGTTAATCTTGCAATGCCTCATGGGACTTGTAGTTTGGCAACAGCTGGAGGGCCACCAGTTTGACATCCTAGCCCTAGACACAGAGAAATGAGAGCAATAATTCTGGGGAGATCATTCTAGGTCCGAAGTTTTACCCCCCCCCCCTTAACTCAACACAGCAGCCGGAGGAGGCTGTACAAATGCCGCTGCGCAGCTCCTGCACAAAATGATTTCCCCTGTACTGCAACGCAACCTATTCAAGTGAATAGGACCCACACTGCAACTGTCATGCGTTGGTGGTGCTGGCTTTTCCGGGCCGGTTCACACTATAGAAACGCAATCCAGATGTGTTCCGGATGCGTTTCCGCATGCACATTTATGACGTGTTCTGGTGCCTTTTTTGACGGTTTCCAGTTATTTTTTCCCCTTTTTCTTCAATTTAAATGGAGACATGTACGATCCGGTACATTTTTGATGCGTTTTACCACGTTCCAATACAGTTCTGTGCAGAAAAAATGCAGCCGGTTCTACTTTTTTTTCTGCCATTCGCAACGCACTAGAACTGCAAGCACTGAAACGCATGTAGTGTGAAGTGGCCCTTAGAGGAAACCCATTCAAGTGAATAGGACCCACACTGCAACTGTCATGCGTTGGTGGTGCTGGCTTTTCAGGGCCGGTTCACACTATAGAAACTCAATCCAGATGCGTTCTGGATGCATTTCCGCATGCACATTTTTTATGTGTCCCAGTGTGTTTTTTGACGTGTTCCAGTTAATTTTTTTCTTCTTTTCTTCAATTTAAATAAAGACATGTACATTCCAGTGCGTTTTTGATGTGCTTTACCGTGTTCCAGTACAGTTCTGTGCAGAAAAAATGTAGCATGTTCTACTTTATCTGCCACAAATCGCTTTTCAGAGGGGTGACAAGGGCACTAAAAGCGTCGCTTATGAACAATTTGAGGTTTGACATGTTTGGTATCTATGTCATCAATGCAACCTCATGTGTTACCTGTTACCAAAATTCAGGGATTACATTGTGTTGGGATGCGCCACAATTACTTTCTACTTAAATTCTAGATTTGGTGATTAGTAGCAGAAATATCTGAAAACACTGCAACTGCCACCCTTTTTATTTAGTGGGATCTCCGCTTTAAGAAGAAAATTTCACGTTTTGGGGCTTTTCAGTGCGTTTTCATGTAATAAAAAAAAAAAAAAAAGCATCTGGCAGCAAAAGGGTTAAAGAGATGGTATTCGGGATGATGAAATCTAGAAGGATCGCTATGGCTAAGCACGGTCAGGATAATTAGACTGAGCCAATAGGGAGTCATGAACGCCAAGATGGCTCTGAAAGCGACACAAAAAGCGCAGTGATGTGTGCGATTCTTGTCGGCACCGCGCTCCGCCAAAACGAAGACACACAACACACAACACACAACGCATGGACAATACGTGAAGGAAATGCATACCCCGATAGCAGGCCGCCGGCTACAATTCCAGAGGTCTAGTGTTACACGTGTTCCATCTGAGATCTCCAGGCAACGCTCTTTAGCCAAGCTGCAGAAAGACGGCCATTGAGCGGAAGGCGAGACGAGCTCTTCTGCGTCTAGATTTACTGCCTGCTTCTGCAGCTTTCAGTCTTCATCAATACACTCCTAACATACAGCAACAGTATCTGGTTTCAGAAAAGTTCCAACTTTGTCATTAAAATGTCATCCTGGCCGGTGACTTGGCCTAGGCTGAGATGACATTGTTAGTCAGCTGCAGGCAAGAAGAAGCATTTCCTCAGTCTCCTGTCCTCCAGTGTTCAGGATGCACATTAGCACCTCACCATTTACCGTTCAAAAGCCATCCTTGAGCTCTAGTCCACAGACTAAACTGGGATGATGCCATTACTCTGCTGTAGGCAGGAGGAAGCATTTCCTCAGTCTCTCCTGTCCCAGTGTTCTGGCTGCTAGATTAGAGCTCCACCATTTATTGTTCAAAAGCCATCCTTGAGCTCTAGTCCAGAGACTGCATTGGGATGATGCCATTAGTCTGCTGCAGGCAGGAGGAAGCGATTCCTCAGTCACCTCTAGTGTTCAGGCTCCAACATTAGAGCTCCACCATTTATCAATCAAAAGCCATCCTTGAGCTCTAGTGCAGAGACTACACTGGGGTGATGCCATTAGTCTGCTGCAGGCAAGAGGAAGCAATTTCTCAGTCACCTCTAGTGTTCAGGCTGCAACATTAGAGCTCTGCCATTTATCAATCAAAAGCCATCTTTGAGCTCTAGTTCAGAGACTTTGCCTAACCTGGGATGATGCCATCAGTCTGCTGCAGGCAGGAGGAAGCATTTCCTCAGTCTCCTCCCTCAGACTGCAATATTGTAACTTTGTAGCAAGTCACAAGGTGAGAGGCTGATCTGTATCAGACATTTGGGAACAAAGAGAACTGCATGGGCACCAGGATTTACAGGACTGTGTCATCTCTGAGCCGGCATCTCAGTCCAGGAGGTAGATGTGACCCAGATGATGCCTGAAAAAAGATGGCGCCATATATCTGGAGTGAAAAGCAGGTGAAGCCATCATCAGGGGGAGTACTATGATCTCGGTAAGAGGTATTACATACCTGGAATAGTTACAATGAGAAGGTATTGAGCATGCATTGACTTACCATGGGTCCATTCATTCCTATGGGTGAGCCATACTCTACTGGAGACTGGCATGTGCATAGCATACCCTTAGGAATGAATGGATCAGTGGCACACATGCGCACGGTGAGAGGAAGACCAGAAGGGGCGCTTGTGCTGGAAAGGCTCTGCGATGCCAGGAATGGCGGTAGAGTGACATTTGTGGGAAAGTATTGGTCCAGGTGGGCCATACTCATAGGGATGGGGGGACCTGATCAAGGGCCCATTCAGACACTGGCATCATGTTGCCTTTCCTTTAATGCGTTACAGCAGCCTATGCAAACGCAAAGTCAGGCAAGGTACCTAGATGTTCAAAAAGCAGATATGCGCCATTTTTGTCAATGCTGCATGCATGGTTGTGCGTTGCGGTGAGCACTGAAGCCATAGCAGCAATCAAAATGAAAAGCACTGCAATGTGCTAAGGGACGTAACGTGTGTTTTGTTAACTTGTGATTATCGCAGTGCACCGCACTGGAAAGGTATAAGTGGGCCCTAAAGGGAAATTGCCCCAAAGGTGCCGGTGTCCTTTAAGTCCAAGTCAAAGAGCACGAAAGCCAGTGAACTAGCATTTTCTGAAGGTGGGGTTAGTTACTGCAACCTCAGCGTGTCTAACATGGCAAGTAGTTAGTTTTTTTTGTCTTGCGGTTGTATTCCTTGGATCGACTCTTACCGCAGACACCATCTGCATGGAGTTTGCAGGTTCTCCCCGTGTTTGCTTCACTTTCCTAAATACAAACTAGTCGGTAAACTGGTATCCCACCAAAATGACATAAGATGGGGGAGGGGTGCTTGGCACGTGCCAGAACCCCATCTACTAATACCGACTTGATGGATATCCTCTTAATTACCAGCAGAGAAGGCATTTCTAGTAAGAAGGCGTTTAATCCATGTTTAAATTCACTAATCCCTGTTTAAATTGTAGAGAGCAGAGCAGATTAAAGAGCAAAATATAGGCAGAGCAAATTATTTCTGCAACCCAAGTTTTCCCCTCGCACGGAATAGGTAGCAGATTTCAGATGTAACTAAATTTTATTACAGTTGCAAGAAAAAGTATGTGAACCCCTTGGGATTACGTGGAGTTTTGCATGAATTGGGCATAAAATGTGCTCTGAACGTCATCTAAGTCACAACAATAGAAGAACACAGTCTGCTGAACATAATACTACACAAACATTAGATGTTGCCATGGTTTAATTGCACATAACATGTAAACATTCACAGTGCAGGGAGGAAAAAGTATGTGAGGGCCTGGACGGATTGTTGTCATTGATGGGAAAATGAATTCCAGAGTTTATCAAGACATTTTGCAGGAAAACGTACGACCATCTGTCCGCCAACTGAAGCTCCGCAGAGGATGGGTGATGCAACAGGACAATGACCCAAAGCATACAAGTAATTCAACAAAACAATGGCTGCAACAGCACAGAATACGCCTTCTGGAGTGGCCAAGTCAGAGTCCTGACCTCAACCCGATTGAAATGCTGTGACATGACCTTAAGAGAGCGATTCACACCAGACATACCAAGAATATTGCTACACTGAAACAGTTTTGTGAAGAGGAGTGGTCCAAAATGACTCCAGATCATTGTGCAGGTCTGATCTGCAACTACAGGAAACGTTTGGTTGAGGTTATTGCTGCCAAAGGAGGGTCAACCAGTTATTAAGTCCAAAGGTTCACATACTTTTTCCTCCCTGCACTGTGAATGTTTACATGTTATGTGCAATTAAACCATGGCAACATCTAATGTTTGTGTAGTATTATGTTCAGCAGACTGTGTTCTTCTATTGTTGTGACTTAGATGACGTTCAGAGCACATTTTATGCCCAATTCATGCAAAACTCCACGTAATCCCAAGGGGTTCACATACTTTTTCTTGCAACTGTATATATGCGATATTGACACACTCCATGCAGACAGTTTCATACCCTCTGTCAAACAGCATCAGACTCTGCCATGAAGAGTTATCCAAGTCAATGTACGCAGTACAGACATGAGAGATAATAATTCTACAATTACACTGTTGGGCTGCATAGAAAACGAACAGTACAAAAGGAAACCCACACAAAAAGGAGATAAAACGCACTCCATGCAGATAATGTCCCTGTATACAGTATGCCTAGAAACAAGATCTACTACTGAAGAATGTTAGCCACAGTTACATACATTGATAATGCCCAGAGAAATCATCAGATGGAAAACTGATGTACACAACAGAAAATGCTATGCATGGCATCAAAGAGATGATATTCTGCTAGCCTAGACTGAGCACAGAGTCAATCTGATGGTAACTTAAACTAGGCATGGCACCAGTGTGATGGTCAAGGCTAGGCATAGCTCCATTGTAATAGTTAGGACTAAGCATGGCACCACTGTAAAGGAAAGACTAGGCATAGCACCACTGTGATGGAAAGACTGGACATGGCATCATTTT